CTCTCTCTCTCTCTCTCTCTCTCTCTCTCTCTCTCTCTCTCTCCCTCCCTCTCTCCCTCTCTCTCTCTCTCTCTCCCTCTCCCTCTCCCTCTCTCTCTCTCTCTCTCTCTCTCTATCTATCTATCTATCTATCTATCTATCTATCTATCTATCTATCTATCTATCTATCCATCTATCTCTATCTTCTGTATTATGTATATGAAATCCAGGTTTGCATGTTTTATGATGCTGAATACTGCCGGTGGCTCACCATTGTAACATATCGTAGACCTTAAAGCGGCCATACATAAGGTGCAACAACGTTCACGTCGTTTGCGTAAACCACCCTACCATGGTCAGCGTAAACTATCCAATTATCTAGCACATTTAAGATCCGTAAAACATATATAACTGGATTTCACACATACACACACACACAACACACACAGGCACACGCACACGCACACGCACACGTACATACACACACACACGCACACACACACAGAGATGGGAGAGAGGGAAGGGAAGGGGGAGTGAGCGAGGAAGGAGGCGAGTAGGGAGGAAAGGGGAAGGAGGAGAGGAAGAAGTCACAGCTGCGTCATGCTTCACCCGTCCGAAAGCCTTAGTTGAAGGACACTGCGCCACCAAAGTCAAGAGTAAATGCCATAATTAAAAACATTTGGCAAGACACTGAAAATGTCAAAGAATAGGACAGGGTGTGAAACAAACTGCTGAAGTGTCATGCTCATCTGACAATTCGTTTGGAGGAAATTTACAGAAAAAGATGGGTTAAGGAATGCATAGGAACTCACAAAGCAACAAGCGGTTCGGTCCGGTGTCTGTCTTACTCATACAGTTGCATTCGGCTTCCCCCTCACGTCGAATCATAATCATTGCAAATACCAGGTAACTTCAAGAAGGCTACATCTACTGCTCAGGACGATGTGGTTTAGTGGTTAGGATGAGCGAGCTGCGTTCGCTCAGGCACTCGTGAATTCATCATTTCGAAAAAAAAAAAAAAAAAAAAAAAAAAAAAACAAGGAATATTGGGATAAATTATGTTATATTTATTTATTAATTTATGTATATCATTCTACACGGCCACCACAAGACATGGAGTTCAGAATATTTTGTGTCTGGCGACGATGCTAGAATTATAATTATGCTATAATGCGACAATGATTCTTAGCATTATGGGTTAATTACTCGCCAGTCACGTAATCAAAAGTTCAACACACAAGGCAGTAATATAGTGGCAGATCCATACGATACGACGCGCTGATAACATGCGAGCAAAGGGACGAGTCCTTGACCCCGCGCCGCTCCCGCTGTTCCTCCTCCCCGCCCCCCCTTCCGCCTCATGCGAAACGGCGCGCAGACCAGTGCCAGGGGTAGGAGAGGGAGGGGGCGCAGGAACTTTGGATCGTGACAGCACATGCCATTACGAACGTGACTTGAAGCCTTGAAAAGCAGTTTGTAAGAGGTGCAGCCATGCGGCGATTTGCGTGCACTTGTTTTGTGACTGGAAGGTATGGCAGAGGGGGAGGAAGCGGCAGTCTGGCCCGGGCTCTGTTCCAGGAAGGCTTGATGTCGAATGGAAGGCGAGTTCACCGTTTAGCAGTGATTGAAGCTGCGATAAGTGAGAAAACAGCTGTGCAAGTGCGGCGTTATTATTGGATTCGGATTATAAAAAAACGAGTTGTGAAGTATTTTGATGATGTGATGACTGGCTCGTGTCGGCGGCTGACTTGTAGTGTTTTCTTTTCCGTAGATTACTGCATGGCAGTGATGTACTATGGTGGGAAAACCCTTGACATGCAGTGACTTGCAATGATGGTTGAAACGTTGTATTTCTGTACAACCGGGTACAGTGTACATGGAGGTGCCCGTGTTCCATGTTCGTACAGGACAAATATTGTGCCTTATCTTAGTTCATTATTACATGCTCATATTGCCTTTCTCTTTGTATTGCTAATATACCCTTTGTATTTGTATTTGTTCTCCCTTGACCTGACCACCTAGCCAAGTGTTGCGATCAGATGGGCAGCAGCTTGGAGGTTGCAGCTGCCTATAGCAGATATCGCAGGGAAAGGTCAAAGGCTTAGCAATTTATCAATGCACATGCCTCTGAGTACTGTGCACTTTTGCCATCGCTACGGCATGAGTATTACTGCACGGTTTCTCTCTCTCTCTCTCTAAATGCATTCCTGATTTCGCAGGTGGCAGGACTTTAAAAAATACAATTTGCAACGAAACAGAGACTAATCTGGACAATGCTTTAATGAAATGAAGTGTAAACAAATTTCTCTGCAATGTAAAAAAAAAAAAAAAACGGTTAGTATCAAGTCCATAGACTTTATTAGCATTTTTAAATTAACTTGTTTAGATTTATAAACATGAGGACATTGTTTTGTCGGGCTGATGTATGTCGGCTCGTCTGTTACGATTGATGCCTAGTGTCTTTATCAGTCTGTTATTTTTTCAGGTTTCAGTCTTATCGTATTATTGAAACTGAATAAGCTACAGCTATCCATCCGTATATCTGTGACATGATTAAACTTGATATCATACTGGACTGAAAACACACACACACACCACACACACACACGCACGCACGCACGCACGCACGCACCCACCGCGCACCCACCCGCGCACGCACACACACACGCACACACACACGCACACCACACACGCACACACACACACACACACACACACACACACACACACACACACACACACACACACACACACACACACACACACACACACACACACAACACACACACACACACACACACACACACACACTCACACACACGCATATATATATATATATATATATACTAAAACACACACGCATATATATATGTATGTGTATATAAGTATATACAGTATATATCCAATTTTCATTATTAGCTTGGAGTCACCGCTGGTACCGGTGTGGGTAGCGAGGACTCACAGAAATACCACATGCCGCTTTCTAACCGAAATGCCTACAGAAAATATGTAGTGTAAGGGATTTTCTTCCACCTTTTGCCTCCAGAACTTCAAAGACGTGTCATGCAGCCAGGTATTTTGTAATCTGTGTTTTGGCGTCACGTAGTACCACTGCAAAATTAGAGAAATTCATTGGTTGTTGGGAATTCTCGCGAGTGAAAATGTTAGGTAAATCCCTACCTGGAACCTGCACTGCATGGAAGTGATGCAACATTAATATTCTGTGTGTGAGAGTACTCCATTCAGATATAAACGTGCGCACATACGCACACGGATACACTCACACACACTCACTCAATCTCACTCACTCACTCACTCACCCACTCACTCTCATTCACTCACTCACTCAATTACCCACTCACTCACACACACACACATACACTCACAGTCACACTTACTCACACACACACTCACACACACGCACCACACAAAATACACCTGCATTCACACAGCGGATCTATGGGTACTTGATTCCTTATACGTGCTTAGGATGTGACTGAAGTAATTCACTATATCCTTGTTTTATTCATTGAAGCACAGAACAACTCATGCCTTACAATGGAGTTTCATTTATTTTTTGTTTTATAAAGTCTACAATAATTATCTCACTTCCCTCCCTATTCAAAATCCGAAAATATTGGCACGAAAATCCGCCTCGTGGAAGAGAACATGAACAGTGAACAGTGAACATCGTAGCCTCATATCCTACGCCGCCACTCCGCTGTTCATTTCATCTCTGGCAGTCACAAGACACTGACACAAGGTAAGCTTTCATCTAAATGTGAATAGAATGTGTCTATTTATGTACAGGTGGCTCGAAAATCCTACATTCGGTCGTGTTCTACGAGGAATTATACATATTCATCGTGTCAAAATTGTAGATATGTGTGCATATGTGAGAATATCAGCGAAATAAAATTACCGTCTCGGTAACCCCAGTCAGTCTGCTATGTTTTACCGCTTTGCAAGCCCGCAAGCACGCAAGCAAGCACCGAAGCAAGCACACACACGTACACACATATTATATATACACACAAGCATGCCCATATATATGTATGTATGTATATATATACATATATACATACATACATACATACATACATACATATATACACACAGACACACCCGCATGCATACCTGGCATTCCATGTGGCGGAATAAAAAAAAAAAAAAAAAAAAAAAAAACATCTGAGCCGAGATCCATCAGAAACCCAACTCGCACCCCACGGCCCACAATCCCAATCAGAGCAGCAATAACCCACAACCCACGAACTGGACATAAAGATAATAACCGAACCCCCTTTTGCAGATCCGAGAGCGACCATGGAACGAGCATATCGTGCATTGACCTTCGCGACGGCCCTGGTTACGGTGGCCGCTCTCATCTGGTTCGCCTATTACCCTCCTCCGTTTCCTGTCCTCTGTCCGGATAAAAAGGGAGGACCAGATCCTGTGACAGGAACGAGGTCCTTTTTCCCCAGTCTGTCGCAGGAGTGTTTTGCTTACAACGCCACCAGTGCGGAAAATATTTGCTGTCGCATGAAGAAGTATATTTCAGTGGACGACATTCGGCGCTGTATACTTGGTGTGACGGGGTAATAGTATTGTTACTGTTCTTGTTGTTTGTTATCATTACAGTTATTATTATTATTATTGTCACTTATCATTTCATTATTGTTAATATTCTTGTTATAATTATTGGCATTGTTATGTCACTATCATATACGTAAACATGTATATGTAGTATATATATATATATATATATATATATATATATATTATATAATATTATATACAGACATGCATACATACACACGCGCACAGACCACAGCACACCACACAACACACACACACAACACACAACACACACACACACACACACACCACACACATATATATATATAATATATATATATATATATATATATATATATGTGTGTGTGTGTGTGTGTGTGTGTGTGTGTGTGTGTGTGTATTGTATACATATATGTATATATGTATATATGTATATATATACATAT